TCTCTCTCTCTCTCTCTGGTCCCCTCCGTGTCTCTAGTACCAAGCGTGGGTAACATGAATTTACTATAACTGTAAGTTCACTTTACAATAGACCATAATTCCCCACCTCTTGCACCACAGAATGAGAAAGGGAAAGATTTGAAACTTTGAGCTTCTCTCTCAAAGTTGTCTTAATGAATCTATTGTCGATCTTACTGGTTCTTTTCCATGTTCCAGTCTTTACTAAAACTAAAAACCAAACGAAATAAAATTCTCTCTCCTAAAAGCATCTATGATGTAGGTATTAGCCTCTTCACTTGAGACTCGATTTCAGTTCCCAGTCTATAGTCGATTTTACCGGTACTTTTCAGTGCCACTGAATGGCCGTCATCGTGTCTCTGTGGTTTTACTAATAAATCTCAAACTCAAACATTTATAGACCCAAATTCCCATTGGCACCAGCATCTATAATGTAGTTGTTAGGCGCACATTCTCTGCACACACTCAACACGTGTTTGATTCCCGAGTGTGGGTGTTATATTTTATTGAATATATTCGTTTGTATGTGGAGAGGCTGTCCCCCACTGAGCCCCCATTCACTCACTTGACATAGTTTAGGAGGCGGGCAGCTTGTACCCTGCCTCACCGGACCTACCCGGGCGGACTTGCGTACAGCATCCAAGTGTATAGATGGAGATCATGGAAAATATCACTCCGGAATGAAACTCAAACATAAATGTACCAAATTTCTAAACAGATGGGCGAGGAGGGAAAATCAGGATAAAGTAGCATTTTGGAAAGCATCTGTGCAGAGAAATTAATGAAGAACCATGATCGCCGATGTCTGTCGCAGCTCTGGCACTTGATGCCGATGATGAATGGAAATCACACCTTTTGGGTACAACGGCGAAAAGCTTTGACCAGTGTGCTGCAGACGCCGCAACAGGTGGTTATGATGATGTCAATGCAAGTGTCTGTAGTTCTCTCAACTCGGCTGTACTGGCATCTAAGGTGTTGAGATTAGGCGCTTCTCTGTCGAACGCAGAAAACCCGGATTCGATTCCCAAGAGGGTACTTTTCTCGAGTATCTCAGTCTTTCTACCGGGTTGTTGTATTCCTCTCAAACCGGATTGGCCCTGACAAACAGGGTCCGAAGCCCTACCTATTATTGTGTCGCTGGGGGTGTAAAACATTTACATTAAAGAACTCGGTTGCTGTTCTTTTGTCTAAATTCTGTTTTAGGGGAAGTTCAGCATCTAGAAATGACGTTATGAACATCTCTGATGTCTTTGTCAGGTAATGAAAGTTTGTGGGGTTCCTTTGTTTTGTGTATTTTTGGGGTACTACGGTGACGATATCCTCCCTTCCTCTCTCTTTCTTTCTCTCTCTCTTTCTCTCTCTCTCTCTCTCTCTCTCTCTCTCACTCTGTGTGTCTCTCTGTCTCTCTCTGTCTCTCTCTCTCTCTCTGCCTCTCTCTCTTCTCTCATTCTCTCTCTCTCCTTCCTTTTGTCTTTCTCTCTTCCTCCATCTCTCCTCTGGTGTGTGTGTGGAAGGGGGGGTGTCCGCAACTTTTTAACTATACCTTTCCAATGACTTCTATAGGACACAAAAACCAAGGTTATGAGTTAACCCTTTCAGTAGAGAGCCTAGACTGCACCAATTCTTTCCAGTTCTTCGGGATGATATTAAAAAGGCTCCTACCTAAGTCGTCTCTTTTACTGTAGACGTTTTATGGCCTCATCCTGGATTGGTCTGAACAGGCGTGATCAAAGCCCACCTTCTCAGTATCTCAGTTGTATAACACCTATATTTGAACATTTGATACCCCCAGTTTTTCGTGAACATAATGCATCTGTTGTACCTGTTCCCCGAAAATACTCTATTATTTCATCTTACTGTCAATCCATTTAAACAATCAAAACAATGAACTTAGAACTTTAAAAATGGAATAAAAGTACACAATTTCTGACATGCGAGGCAAAGAATGATACCAATGCACTACAGACGTCAGTGGAACGGGCACAGTGTATTTCTAATTTGGTCATTGCCAACATCCGTTAGGATCATCCTAAGTCGAATCCCAAACATGGGTCGTTTGGAAGCTTTTCAACCAAAGCTGGTGTCTGTATAATATAATTATGTGTAGCGGTTAAGCACTTCGAAGCCTAACTGGAGGGGG